TCTTTTCACATAAGAGCAGTCAGTTTCATGTTTCATCTGAAAGACAGTAGCTCTGATGTTGCAGAAGTCCTATAGTATAGTACTGGTGTATTAGCCTAAATTTAATAGCCAAGTTTCTTGCATGGGATTTGAACTCATAATCTACTGACTCAGAGGAAAACATGTTACCAATTAAGGGATGCTGAAATCTGGTTCCCAAAATTGGATCAGATCCAAAACCAGGTGTGAGGATCACAATGGCTCATACCTAATATTCATAACTTTATCTTACACTTAACACTGCTGCAAGCCTTTCACCCATGTCTCCCAGATTACATACATGCCAGCTATTCAACCATGAAGCAGTATCATTCAAAGCACATCACACTCACTTATCTATCTTCCCCTCACTGACAGCACTTTTGTTTTCCAATCTCCTTCCTTCAGGTCCTTTCAACTTTTCACAGAAGCAAGGGTGATCGGTATACTAATTAGAAAGTCTCTTAGTTACTGGTTAAAGGCAACAGCTTACAGCAAATATTGGGAGAAAACAACTTTCTTCAGGCTTCAGGTACTTCTCCTGCAGAAAGACAGGGACACAGAGACTGCTCTTCCAGCAGCCTGGAGTTTTCTCCCCTCTATTGTAAACACCCAACTATTCACCTGCTCAGGAATCAGTTATAGAGTTGCCATCAGGCTGATGACTTCTGGCATCTACCATGAGTTACATTTGCACAAATTAGTCAGCAATCTTTTGCTAACCGAATATTATTCTGTACATTTATCCGACGCCATTCCAGCCTCCCACTGCTCCCCCACTATTTTCAAAGCAACACTTTAAACACAATTCACAATGAGGCCAGTAACTTGTTTTTAAAAACACAGCAATTTCTTCCTCAGTCCTAGGTTTTAAAACAGCCATTTTATTACTTTAGTCCGCGATCAAGAATAAAGAAAAAGTAAAAACAAAGTAGATTTTACAGTAGATTCAAGAACGGAAATATCCCATCAGGTCTTGGGCTCTTATCTGGAGGTCTTGTTGTGAGATCTAAGGTTTGCTTGCAAAAGATGAGACGAAGAGGTTAACCTCTCCAATGAAGCAGATGTGGATGAAAGTGGCCAAAGAAGTGAGCAGCAGGATTATGTTCCTTTGAAGTCTGAACCAGAAACTTCAAGAACCTCAGTAAAGCAGAAAACGTGAATCACATTATACGTTCTGGTGTCAAGGTGATGAATAATTTTATTTTTTATTTTATTGTCCCATAATCTAGGGAGATACAGTGAAAAGTGTTCTGTCACCACAATCCAGTGTCATTTTGAGGTACAAGAAGAATAAAAGAAACTACTTAAATAGGGTTCATATTCATTGGCCAGGATCTCCAAACATAGTTCCAGGACTTCTGCAAGGTCCCCCCTTCGGGCTTACCACAGCCAGGAGTCCCTGCTCCAGGCATGGCACCACCACAGGTGATGACCCGCCACCTCTGCCAGGAGTCCATGCTCCAGGCCTGCCAAAGCCAGGAGACCACACTCTGCCATCATTGCAACCAATGTCCTGCCGCTGTTCCAGGAGTACCCACCTACACCGTTCCAGCTTCCCTGTGACATCAGGACGATGAAGAAAAAGAAAACAAGATGAAAAAGAATGCAGCTGGCCTGGAGTGGGCAGGCTCAGCCTGAACACTACCTGCTCCTTGCTCGCTGGGAGACCACGGGTTGGGGTGGAGCCGTGTCCGGCTCATTCTGCTATTGCTGCAGGAGACCTCCTCCTTTACTCACCACTCTCCAGGCTTTAAAGAAAAGAAAGCAAAGAAAACATAAAAAAGAAAGAGCAAAAACAAAAAGAAGGAAAAACAGAAAGCAGATGGGAACACACGAGCCCTGGGCTCAGACAACAATTCATGACCATGTACTTATACAACGCACTTTGTAGTTTCTCTCATCCCTTTCTTTCCAGATATCCCTCACATTCAGATCAGAGTAGCAAACACTCATTCACGCTCACTAATTTTAAGCCATTTCAGTGATAACCATGTTGATAGCTATTTGCAGTTCACGTTCTCTTGATTCACTCTTGAAACAAACTTGTTCCCCGAGTTTACAAATGTCAGCAATGACTTGTCATAAAATCTGAGAAGCTTAGTTTTATGAGCCACTGGTTTTCACCATGTAGGCACTCGTTTCTAGGTGGGTTGGGGGAGGGAAGTCATACCACTTCAAGGAAGATTTCTACATGTGCGTCTTCTGATCTGCAGAACAACATGTGCCTGAACAGAAAGCAGCTAGTACTGCTATTTTACTGTTCCTGGTATTGGTGATACTGGTTGTCATATTCCTCCGCAGGAGCAATGTCCAACTGCATATGTTGTTTTCATTCTGTAACAAAAGCAGATTGCAAGGAACTACAGATCAAGGTCAGTCAAGTCAAAGTCACGGAAAGTAACTTCAAAGAAGTTGAAAATCACCTGTGAAGGAGTAACAGTACTCCCACAGAAGCAGCAGTTTCTCAATTAAGTATGGTTATTGTTATTTAGTTTCATTGTTGAAAGCTTCCCAACTCATCAGTGGGCGGAATCTAGTTGAGGCAGCAGGGTCCCATCAGTTGCTTGAACAGATGGCAAGAGATCCACACCATCTTTTCCAGAGAAAGCCCAATAAACAACAAGCCAAAGCAGCAGTGATGAGGTCACTGGGGGCCAATCTGAGGGCAGCAGCTCTTATGTTCATCAATACCATTGAGAGGGGCAGGGTGTGTGAAACAGGGCAGTGTCGATGGCTACAATTAGGCAGCTGTTTGCCCTACGTCCAGTTGATCAGGCACTTATTGCCTTTGATCAAGGGACTTCCCTCCATCCCTCGGGATGACAAAGTGACTGCAGGGTAGCAGCTATCAGGAATTCTGCACGACAATTGGTGCACCTGCAGATGAGTTAATCTCAGTGATGAAGGGCTGAGGCTCTTAGATGGTCACTAATTGAGCAGGCCGGGGTGTTGATTATGGGCCTTCCTACCCAGGACCTAATTCTGGTGGGGTTGGGAAGATAGCAGAGCTTGGGCAAGTTACCAATCTTTCTAATTAAGTGTCCATCCTACCCAAAGCTTGCCACCTCTGGGAGCAGAAAATTCCATCCATTTACGGTGAAGAAGCACTCTCTGATATTGCTCTAGCCAGGCTGACCCTGGAAATATGCAGACAGCTTGGGAAATTCATAAAACAAGAACAAAAACAGAAGTTGCCGGAAAAGCTCAGCAGATCTGGTAGCATCTGTGAAGAGAAAATCAGAGTTAACATTTTGGGTCCAGTGACCCTTCCTCAGAACCCAAGAATAAAACAAAAACACTGGTTTAAAAGTAAAAGATGCATAAGGGATCCCTGCATATCAGTAAATTTGCCAGAAATAAACACTGAAGTAGATGAGATCATGTCAGGTTCCTGACCCAATGCCACTTTTCCAGAGATTTAATCCCTCTGAGGACCTCAGTTTGTCTTCCTTTGTGTTTTAATTACATGAACACAGTACCTGATAGTCTCAAAATGTACAAGCAATAGATCACATTTTATAAAGACTCAGATCTATGTGTATGAATGATAGTGTCTGAGATCACACAACACCACGTTATAGTTCAACAGGTTTATTTGAAAACACAAGCTTTCGGAGCCTCAGTCCTTCTTCAGGTGTTAGTGAGAAACGTAGTATCAGACACAGAATTTATAAGTAAAAGATCAAATGTTCACACCATTGATGAGGATGTACTAAACAAACCTAAGATGCTATTAAATCTTTAAATCACTTAGAAGGTTTTAATTGATTGATATGTATACGTAAATCCCTGAATTCCTTTCAAGTCACGGTCCTGAGAGAACTAAAGGTTTTATCAGTGTAAAGAAGAGGTGCCATTTTAGGTCAGACAATGCATGTTAGGTGCGAGACCTTGTTTAGAATCTTTGTTTTAGTTTGGAGTCGGACTCGTTTTATTTCTAAGGTAGAAATTTATAAAATGTCATATTGACTGACTGTTTATAAATTGTGGGCTTTTTGAACAAAGTAAAATGTATTTGCAAATACAAATTCCTCCCAGATTCACGTGCATGTGTGTGAGGGGGAAGAGAGACAGTGTGTGAGAGGGAGAGAGAGACAAAGTGTCTGAGGAGGAAGACAGAGAGTTTGTGTGTGTGTGTGTGTGTGTGTGTGTGTGTGTGTGTGTGTGGAGTGGGGGGGGAGACGTGAGGAGTATGCGTGTGTGAGGAGGGGAGAGACAGTGTGTGTGAGAGGGAGAGAGAGAGAGCGTGTGTATATGTGTGTGTGTGTGTGTGTGTGGATGTGAGAGAGAGGTGTGTGTGTGGCAGAGCTGTTGGGTGTGAGTTATTGTGTGTGAGCGAGTGTGGGTGTATATGTATGCGTGTGTCTATGTATGCATGTGTGAGAATGTATAGTGTGGTAGGATCACCTGTAGAGCGAGATGACCCAAGATCTCAGTTGCGGCCGTCCTCTTGAGTACCGAACTTGGGTATCAGCCTCTGCTTGGCGACTGTGCATCGTTGTGTATTCCGAAGTCAGCCTTGGAGGACGTTTACCCGAAGATCCAAGGCCGAATGTCCTTGACCGCTGAAGTGTTCCCCCACTGGGAGGGGTGTCGTGTGATTTCTGACCTTGTGCACCCCAGTCCAACACCAGCACCTCCACATTATGAATGATAGGTACTGGCCACGACATCGTTGTTGAAAATATTGTTTATTTGCTTTGCTTCATTATCAACAATATTGTTAACTTGGAAAATTATAAGTCATGTATATGAACAAACTTTTAGTGTGCCCACATTTTAGAGATTAGTTGCAAAGCAAACCCTCTCCATGATATTATCATTCATGATGTCCATAATTTCTGTAATATTATATGGCTATTCCTATTTTAGATTTCAATTCTGCTTCTTTATTTATCATGCAAATATGCTTAAAAATGACATAAAAATATAAATACCACCTACTTGATTATTTCCAAAATGAGACAGTCTATACATACCGGTATATTCTGGAATAAAAATTCAAAAACTGTAATTAGACTGATATCTTAAAGATATTCACGCTCACTTTAATTATGGTTATAAAGTAATGGTTATCCTAGTAACACAGAATATGTCACTGTCCACCTTTTATCATCAAAGTACAAATTAATGAAAATAGTAACTTGATAATAACCCCAAAACCAAATCAGCGCAAGTTTCAGAAGTGTATGAATGAAAGGATATATAGCATTCATTCAGGGGAAGCAACAGCAGATGTGTTGATCAAATGGAATAGAAACAATTTCATATATTTGTTAAGTAAAGGGAGTTTCAAGAATTAAAAGACAGTTAAAGACACAGCCTTCAAAATTCTTAAGATAACGTCATTATCACATAGTAGTCAGTACATGCTTAGCAAGATAAGGCACATAAATATGATTTGAGAGAAGAAAAATGAGGAGAAGTTCAAACTTATGGAAATCTCTATTTCAGCAGCACTGATGGATAAGATATTGAGAAGTCTAAGATTTTTGAAAGTGTAGACATCCTTGTTGGGGCTTAGTTAGTTGGACAGCTACATTGTGATACACAGTGATGCCAATAGCATGGGTTCAATTCTTGCCCTATGGCCTGCTGGGACTGTTGTGGCTCTCTCTATACCCTTATTGACACTCTACTGATTGGCTAAATGGTTGAAATCAGCTGAAGATCAGAGTTAAGAAATTCATTTTTAAAATATTTAACATGCAAATTAATAAATAACGAACTAGAACAGCGATGGCTGGCCAGACAATGTTTTGCAGCTGTGGTATGTGGGAGCTGGAGAACACTGGTATGATCCACAGTGACCATATCTACGGCTTGAAGAACTATGACGCAGAGGTGATGAGCTGAAATCTGAAATGCAGACATTGCAACGTATCAGGGAAGCGAAGAAAAACCTCAACACTATGTTTCAGGAGGCAGACACAGCCCTTAGATTAATTATATAAAATTTGGTGTGTGATCAGGGACAGGAAGGCATGACTGTGAGAGTGAAGCAGGTATGGAGATCCAGAATTTTGAAGCAGCCAGAGTGCCCTTTTCCAATAGGTACAAGTTTCTTGCTCCCAGTGTGGATGGGGCACAGACTGCAGGGAAGTTGAGCAAACTGATCAAAATACAATGGTTCAGAGTGTCAATAAAGTTGGAGAGGAAAGAGAAATGTAGCAGTAATGGTGATAGCTTAGTTAGTGGAATGGATACTATTCTCTGCAGCAAAGACAAACAGTCCTGAAGACTATGATGTCTATCTGCTGCTAAGGTTCAGGACATCTGCCGCTTGTGTCCGGACATGTGCAGGCAAGGTGAATTAGCTATGAGAAATGCAGGGTTACAGGGCCAGGGTAATGGTGGGTTGCTCTTCAGAGGGTCAATATGGACCTGATGGGCAGAATGACCTGTTTCCACATAGTAAGGATTCTATGATTCCATGATCTCTTCAAGGCTGGAGAGAAACTTGGAGTGGGCAGGGAAGGATCTGGTTGTTGTGGCTCACATAGATAACAACGACATATGTAGGAGTAGGAAACAGGTTCTGTTGAGGGATTGCAAGCAGCTTGGGGATAAATTAGAAACAGAAACAGTCCCAAGCGTAATAATCTCCAGATTACTACTTGAGGCACATGCTGATTAATGTAGAGTAAATAAGATTAGAGAGGCAAATGCATAGCTCGAAGATCGATGTGGGAGAAACAGGTTCCCATTCAGGGGGCACTGGCTCTAGTATTGGGTATACAGACAGCTGTTCCATTGGGACAGATTTCATTTGAACCATGCTGGCACCAGTCTCCTGGCTAATCATAAAACAAGAGTTGTAGATCGAGCTTTAAAATAATTTGGAGGTGGGGGAGGTTTCAATTGAAGTATAGTTTAAAAAATCAAAAAAGAAATGAGTAAGCATAGGTCCCGGGAAGTGAAGGGGCAAACAATAATCAAAGTGTGACAGGAAGGGGCAGAAAATATAAATCAGAACAGTACAGCGGAAGTTAGAACCAGAATAATGGTGAAAAGCAAACTTTTAAGATCCTTATTTGAACATACGTTGCAATTTTACCATGCTACAATTTGACAGCATAAATAGGAATAACAGAGAAACACAGCAGGTATGGCAGCGTCTGTACAGAGTGAAACAGTGTTAATTTTCGAGTCCAATATAATTCTGTTTTTCTATCCACAAGTATGATCACATCTGCAGAGCTTCTCCAGGATTTTCAGTTTTTATTTCAGATTTTCAGCAGTTGCAGTTTTATGGAAATAAATGAATATGACTTGAAGAAAAAAGGAAGTTGCTGGAAAAGCTCAGCAGGTCTGGCAGCATCTGTGGAGAAAGTCAGAGTTAATGTTTCGGTTAACGCAACCAGTTCTGAGGAAGGGTCACTGGACCCGAAAAGTTAACTCTGATTTTTTCTCCACAGATGCTGTCAGACCTGCTGAGCTTTTCCAGCAACTTCTGTTTTTGTTCCTGACTTACAGCATCCACAGTTCTTTCGGTTTTTAATATGACTTGAAACCATGTACAGACTTGACTGAAGGGTGGCCATGACTGGGAACTCAATATTCAAGGGTATTTGAAAAAGTGAAAAAAGTAGGCTAAAAGGAAAAGAGGTGGGGTAGCTTTGCTGTTAGTTCACCAGTGAATCATGATATAAGTGTAATATATCATGATGTGAAATCATTTTGGGTGGAAGTAAAGGATATAAAGGGAAAAAAGTCATGGGTGGGGTAATTAATAGGTCGCCAAAGAGTTGCCTCACTGTAGAATAAGTATAAATGGAGAAAAAGTGAAAACATGTAAGAAGGGCACAACAATATAAATTAATTTGCATATTTACTGGACAAATCAGATGGGCAAGAGTAAAATTGGAAGACTTATTTGTAGTATGCATCAGGAACTGTTTCTTTGGCAGTACGTTGCAAAAATTTGCCCGGGAATGGGCTATTTTAGATTTAGTAATATAAAATGAAGTATGCTTAATAAAAGATATTCTGGTTATGGATAACCAAAAGAACTGTTTCTGAAGAAGGATCACTTGACTTGAAACGTTAAGTTTGAGAGAGCAACCCGGGTTATAAACCAGTGTCCTCAACTTTAGTAAAGGCAATAACGGAGGTAATGACAATAGAGTTCTATAAAGTAGGCTAGAAAAATAGACAAAGGGGTAAGTCGGTGCATAAGCAGTAGCAGAAATTCAAGTAGATATTTTATAATACTCAGCAAAACTTTATTCCGGTCAAATAGAACATGTTGATGAGAAGGATGAACCATCTGTGGTTAACAAATGTAGATACTTCAAACCAATATTTTGTATCTGTCTTCACTATAAACATCCCAAACAAACAGGTAAACAAGATGCCAATATAGGGGGGAAAAACAACACCCTATCATAAGAGACAAAACTTTGACAGAATAATGGGATGAAAGGCAGGCAAATCTCCAGGACCTGCGGCCTGCTTACAAGAATTTAAAGGAAGTGGCCAAAGAGATTTAGAGGCATTGGTTGAAATATTCCACAACTCACTGGATTCCACGAGGGTTCCAGCAGATTTTAAAGCCACTAACGTGATACCCCTCTTCAAGAAGGGAGGGAAACAGAAAGCGCAAAAATATAGGCCAATTAGTCTAACATCTGTCATTGGGAAAATGCTAGAGTGACAAGTTAGCTGGCTATTTAGAAAAGCTGATTACAATGAAGCAAGTAGCATGATTTTGTGAAAGGGACATGTTTGACAAATTTGCTAGAGTGCTTTGAGGATATAACAAGCAAGTTTATCAACTCTAGGGGGAACCAGATGTAATACATTTGGATTTCCAGATAGCATTTGATAAGGTACCACAGGAAAGGATATTGCACAACATAGGAATTCATTGTATTGAGGTAAAGCATTTGCATGGATTAGAGATTGATTAACAAACAGAAAACAGATTTATGATCCTTTTCCAGACTGAAAAGATGTAACTAGTGGAGTACTCAAGGATAAGTCCTCACACCTGTACATAGTTCTTTGAAAGTTGCATCACAGGTAGACAGGATGGTTAAGAAGGTGTTTATCATGCTCGCCTTCATTGCTAAGACCACTGAAGATAGGAGTTGGGATGTCAAGTTGAAGTTGTGCAGGATGTTAGTGAGGCCACTTTTGGAGTATAGTGCACAGTTCCTGTCACCCTGCTACAGGAAGGATTTTATTAAAATGGAGAGAGTTCAGAAAAAAATCACCAGGAAGTTGCCAGGACTGGAGGGTTTGAGTTATAAGGATAGGCTGGGACAAAAGACAAGTTAATGCCTGGGGTGGACCAAGAAAGGCAGAGCAGGTTTGACAGAACGAATGACCTACTCTTGTTCTTATTTCTTATATCCTATTGAATGCTTGTTGGTTGGTGTGGCATTAGCATCTTGTCAGTTAGTGTTCTGAAGCCAGCAAAGCACCCGGTAACTTTACTTGGAGTACAAGTGATTTACTTAAGTGCAGGGCACTTTTATATTGCCTTGCATGATCACACTTGTGTGCTTCTGTGTGTGGTGAGTGAAGGTATTTTATGGCCACACAGCTTAAGAAACCGAAATCAGTAACACCTGATTTTACAAGATGTAATTCATTTGTATAATTTGTGTACGTTTCAAGGTTATTTTGACTCTTGCGTCAATAGTTTAATTGGGAGTGGGGCAAGAGAAATGAAGTGCATGTTAACATTCAAAGTATAACGATCTTAAGTGAACTTAAACAGATGTAAAATCTTAAAGGGGGTAGCAAGCATATTTGAAAATAAATATATTGGTAGTCTTTACATATTGCAACCTATGCAATAACCATTTGGGTGAATAAACTACCTAGTGAAATCCAGTGAATGGCACAATAAATATGGAGGCAAGTAAAGTGTTCGAAGCCAAATGATGGAGTGCCAAAGCACTGTAAACTCATGACTGATATCTGTTAAAGCATATGTGATGCAGAATGTGGTCAGGTGGCCAGCAGCAGAAATGGCTACAACACTGGTTAAGAGCTACAGTCAAGCATTCTAGAAATTTTGTCAAGTTACTTTAAATTCTGTCCTCGGTTAAAGCTGCAACCAGGACACGTTGTGACCTGTCCTGTAAACTGTGCCCTGCAGTTTCCTGTGTTGACCAAATAAGGAAGGTGACATGGTTGTCTGCTCGACAGGTTTGCACCACTATTACTTTATATGGAGCGTGGTAACTGGCTGCTCACAACTTGGTGTTAACATTTGGGGGCTGTTTACCAGTAAATGCCATTGACTGGGATCAAACAGTGCGATCAGGTTTGTTCAATTCATTGGCTGAGTGGCAGAGAAAGTTCTGAAAATGAGCACATTTTGTGCTCAAAGTTAGCAGAACAAAGGATTTTGCGGGAGAAGCTTTTGAGACCAGCATTTGAGAAACATGTGCCCTGAAGTTATCTTCAGAGAAGACAAACAATCCTGAGGCAAGATCCACGCTGAGTACAAATGTTGGCTACTTCGTTTGAATCAGGGTAGCATTTGTTTCCAGCCAAACGTACAGAGTTAAAGTTAGAGTTAGGATTAAATGCAAATTAAGTTAAAGTAAAGTAGAATGAAGTTAAATGAAGTGAGTTAAAGTTCTAGTTAAGTTAGATGAAGTAAGAATTAAATGTTGCAACAAAGGTGTGTTTTAGATTGAGTATTAGTACTTAAAGGGTTAAATAAAGAAGAGTTTTTTTAAATTAAAGTCTGAGTCAGTTCCCTGCTTTTTCCGACATACAAGGGAAGAACACCCAGGTAAAAGATTTGAGTACTCCTTTCTGGCAACAAGACCATAGTGACATGATAATCCCTACTTTCCTGTTCAGGCGCTTCTGCCATGTTAAGATGCACAGCAGAGATATAAATGGTTGAAAAGAACTTTAGGCTATAGCTGAGTATACATGTTACTGCAGTACCAAACCTAGGAGTAAATCAGTTAATACTACTAATTTGCATTTCATTTCATTTTTCATCTAAAGAGGAATTTTATTGATTATTTTCAAACTATGTTTAACTCAATATTACACATTTATCTAAATGAATATATTTAATTTCAGCTCTATCATGGAATTGCTTAAGGTGTGCCCAACGATTTATTGTTAATGACATAGGGATGTCGTCAGTGTACTAAGATTAGAAAGTAATACAACAAGTATGAGTTATGCTTACAAGAAATAAGGGTTACAATGAAGGGAAAGAACATAGGTTCTGTGCAGAGTGATACTTACAACAGCTGGAATTTCACAGGCAGTTTCTCGTTGATTTTGTTCTGGGTCACAGTAAATCCTTAACTTTTGAACGTCAAACTGTAAACAAAATATAATGATAGCAGTATCTGTAGTAGTTTCCCTTTTTAAAACAATGTTATGTATTGTTCTGTATACAACACTTAATAATATTCAATTTTGGAAATATGATGGAGACTTTTGATCCTTAGAACTTATAAATCTCAGCTTCCCATTATTTTGCACAGGAATTGCCACACAACCAGAGCACTTCCATTAATTTTTATTACACAAACTATAAATCAGCAAAACATCAAGAGATATACAGTAAATATAGATGGCCTCTTTAAACCTATAGCGTATGCTAGGAAGTCATTACTGCATGAATGGAATGTACTGAGAAGAAGTCGAACTTACTGGTACAGTTGCTTCTTTCCCAAAGTACTTCCCTATCTGTGTCCTCCCACTGATGAAGATACCAAGAACAGATTCCAGTTGCCTTGTCTCAATTAATTCATCGTCCAGGTACAAAGTGGCATCCCTCTCTGTTACGAGGACTCGCAGTAAGTGCCAGTTTTCATCAAACAATGCCTTGAACAAGAATGAAATGAGATAAAATTATCATCGTGTATTTTAACTTGAGTTTTCTTGTTCTCTTTATATCATGACTGTTCAGTTGCAATATTTTGGTTCTGAAAGAAAAAATGCAATATTTAGAGTATGTGTTTAACTCATTCATATACAGTCCCTCTGTTCTTTCAAGTCAAGAGTTAATCTAGTAAATCCTGACAACCTTGGCAATAGCAGCTGATTCCTTGAAATTAAGGAAGAAATAACGAAGTTCTCTGATTATGAAGTAAACCTTATTGCAATTGAAATGACTGTTAATGTAAAATTAGTCAGCCAAATTTGTACAGTTCTGGGAATTAGTTTTACGCATTTATTAGTAAAATAGAAGCTAGGGCAAAATCCATTATTTTGGTACATGTACAATACAATGGGCTAGATGGAGGTGGAAAAGGAGGAGAGTAACCAAAAGGTTTAATCCGGCTCCCGTGCGATCCAATCTGTCAGTTTAAATGCCAACGCTGCATCTTAACAGGTGTCTTTGGTATGGTGACCAATAATTTATATGGGTAAGTGGACAGCCATGCCAGAAGAGTGAATGCATGATCAGCTGTTGTTCCATATAGCAGTTGAGTCCAAAGCAAGTGGAAATTTATGTTTGTGTGTCTTGGAAACAATATGTGAATGACAGGCCTGTATGTGGGATGGAGGTGCACACAGAAAAGAGGTTTTATTGACATAACACTAACTCTGCATGGCTTTTTTTTTTGTTCTCCATAAAGGCTATACTGCTGCAGGCCATAGCCATACCATGGAAAGAGCCCTCTAGCAATGAAAAAGCCAGGACCCCAGAGAATGCACTGTCATCTGCCTCATTATCAACCTGCATCAGCACAGTTACATCCACACATGCTGGAAGGGTTATATACGTTGAGGAAAACCAGCTGATAAGCACATCACAGAGATGTCCCAGAAACAGAAGTTGTATGTGACAGGTGGACAATCATCTGATCAGAGGACTGCTGAATATTATGCATCTGCTCAGACCCATACTGACGACAAGCCTCTGGACGTGACCACAAGAAACCTGCTGGACATGCACAGAGGCAAGAGGAAAATATAGTGGAGATGGCATGGATTCTGCATAACTTTAGACGAGATTTGGAGGTGTCTGTGCATTCTACGATGGTCCAAACGTTCGGCTACATAAATTTATCCAAAGAGAGGAATGTGACAACCATGGTCAGCAAGGTCAAGGATTCAATTCATATGCACTCTGATTCACATTCAGTCACTCTAGCCATGGGTTCAATGCAACAATGGATGGGGATGAGGGGTACAAGACATGTGGGCCTCCTTCTGGCAGCCCGCTTCCCTTAGGGAGAGAGGGAGGTGCATTTGCACAAACAGATGGTGGAACAGTGTATGCTAGCAGCCCCAGGGTTCTCATCTCAGGATGCTCCCACAACTCCTCCACCATTGACCCCAACAGCTCTTTCAGGCAAGGGCAAAGGGGATTGCCCTTCATCAATGCATAAAATCCCACTACATAAGAGCCTTCAAAGCCCTATAACCGAAGGAGACATCTGTCACAGCCATCGAAGGCGACAGGAAGCTACAATGAGCAAACTGCCTTCGCTTCAAATTGTAATGTCAGGGCAGAACCAAGCACAGTGGGAATAAAATAAATTGAAAACAGTTTCAGCTTTAAGGTGACATGTATTTTCATGTATGTCTCACTTCTTAAAAATGTATACCAAAGTTTGTCATAATTGTTCCGAATTATTGTGATTTATGGGCCATGTCATAGTATCAGATCTAATGGTGATGGCACATCCCCATGGTTCTTGCAATGTGATAGCTAGAAAGGAGATGAAGACAAAGACATTATTATTGAAAGAAATTTGTTGCATTTTGCACATCCTCTACTGAATTTTCATGTAAATTATTGTTTCTGTGTTGATCATTCTATGGAATGATAGCAGGCTAGTCACTCTAGTCCCTCATCCATGCGCTGTAAAGGATATCAGCCCCAATCACTCTCAGTGGGTATAAAAGAGACAGGTGTATTTGCATTCAAAGCACTTCAAAGATGGTACTGAATCATCATAATTGGGCAAGGCAGGCTGTTATATGGATGTCCATGTACCCTCAAGAAATCCTTGATAATAGCACTAACTACTGAGTTTGGTCACAAAAGCTCTATTATCCAAAATAATGCAGTGATCAACATGGTCGCACCATGACCTAATCAATCTTCTAATTTGAAAGATCTTATATTCCTGAGTCAGGCCCTTGGCATTGAATATTAAGTTAATTTTAAAGGCCTTCTTGGCTGTAGGGTTGAAAACCAGACATCACCAATTTTGGGTGGTAGGCCGAAGTGACATAAGGAGCAGCAGCAAGTGGTTAGAATTTAGAATGCACTTCCTGACAATATGATGAATGCAGATTCAACCTAGTTTTCAAAATAGAATTAGATAATTCTCTGAAGGGAAATAATTTGCAGTATTTTGGGGGAAAGACAGAGGAGTGGGACTAGCTGAGTTGCTCTTACAGACAGCTGGCATGGAATCATTATGCCACAAGGCCCCTTTCTGTACTTTACCCATTCTGGAATTTTATGATCCATGGTAGTTCTGAAGAAGGATCACTGGATCCAAAACGCTAACTCTACTTTCTCTCTATAGATGCTGCCAGAGCTGCTGAGCATTTCCAGCGATTCCTGTTTTTGTCAATTAGCTAAAGTGAACTGGGTGGATAGACTAGCAAGAAAGACAGTAAACAAACAGTGACAGACATTTAAGGAGGTAATTCATGACACTCAGCAAAAAATATATCACAGTAATAAGGAATGATTCTAAGAGAGGAACAAACTCAACCATGGCTAACCAAGGAAGTTAAGCAGATAAGAAGTTGAAAGAAAAAGCATATAACATGGGAAAAGTCAGTGATAGCTCCTAAGACTGAGACAAATTCTGAATCTAGCAAAGGAGGACTAAAAAGATAATAAAGAGAGATAAGATTAATTATGAGGGCAAACTAGTGAGAAATATAAAAACTGACAATAAGAGCTTCTCAAAATATATTAAAAAAGAAGACAGAGGTCAAAGTGAATGCCGACCACTTGGAAAATGAATCTGGGGAGACAGTTATGGGGAATGAGGGATTGACGGAGGAGTTAAACAGATATTTTACATCAATCTGAGGTGGAAGATACTTTGAATATCCCATTAACACTAAAGAGTACTGGGGAGAAATTAGGTATCATCACCATTACTAGAAAAGTAGCATTAGACAAACTGATGGGGCGAAAGGCAGATAAGTCCACTGGCCCTGATGCCTTGCATCCTAGAACTTTAAAAGAAGTAATTAAAGAGATTGTGGAAGTATTGGTTGTAATTTTCCAAAATGCTCAGATTCCAGAGAAATACCAAGGATTGGAAAACTGCCAATGTGACACCCATAGTCACAAAGGGAGTGAGGCTAAAAGCAGTTAGCTAAAGGCCAATTAGCCTAACATCTACTATTGGAAAATGTTGGGACCAATTGTGAAGGAAATAACAGCAGCACTTTTGGAAAATCATAATTTACTCAAGCTGAGTCAGCATGGTTTCATGAAAGGGAAATCATGTCTGAGTTTTTCTGAGAAAGAACCATTCTGAGGAAGGGTCACTGGGCCCAAAAAGTTAACTCTGACTTCTCTCCACAGATGCTGTCAGACCTGCTGAGCTTTCCCAGCAATTTCTGTTTTTGTCACTAGGACAATCCCTGGTATGGAGAGATTGATGAGCAAAGGATAAACAGTTTGGACTCTACTCATTGCAGTTCAGAAGATTGAGAAGTGATTTAATTGAAACATCCAGGATTCTTAATAGGCTTGACAGTAAATGCTGAGAGGATGTTTCCCATCATGGAAGAGTCCAGGTCCAGTGGGCACAATTTCAGAATAAAGGGACATCAATTTGAGACTGAGATGAGGAGGAATTTCTTCTCTCAGAGAGTTAAGAGTCTTGGAAACTCCATGCCACAAAGAGCTGTGGGGGCTAACTCCTTGTGTATATTTAAGATTGAGATAGATAGATCAGTAGGTGAATCAAGAGTGACAAGGAAAATGCAGGCAAGTGGACATGAGTAATGTCGGATCAGTCATTGAATGGCGGAGTAGGTTCAAAGGGCCAAATGGTCAACTTCTGCACCTATTTCTTATGGTCTTATAATTTAGAAGAATAAGGTAAGACAATATGGGCCAAGTTGGGAATTGCAAATATTGAGCTACTTTCATGTTAGAAGGCTAGGCTGAGACACTTTGCAGTGCTGGCACGTGACAGTCCTGTGAACTGATCCATGTGCTTGGTGGTCTGGCCAAAATTTGTTTTTGGGTTTCATGTAGATTCTGTCTTTAAGATTTGGTGTAAAATGTGGTTCACCAGTTGGAGACTGCAAAAAGTAATGAGCTACTAGGTGGTTTGAAGGAAGGTGATCTCAGGTTCATACTAAACAGATCGAAACAGTCCATTTGCTGTTCCAAAAATAAACCTTAATGCTTTTTGGGTGTGTTTTGAGTGACCTTAAAGGTCTCATTAGGGATTATGAGTACGACTAGGTCAACATGAGTGAGAGTTTAATTTGTCCCCCCTACAATGCTGTAAATACTAAATACCTAGGGACTGATTTTGTGTTCTTCCTCTTCAGCTAATTGGAATTCATTTAAATTTGTAGGTTTATGTCATTAATGTAGACTCGTCTATGGAAATGCAACCATTATTACAGGCCTAGATATTTTATAAATGTTTTTACTACTTGTTAAGATGTTAATTAACTGGCCTGTAGTTTCCTATTTTCTGATATCCCAATTCATCTACCATCTCTATATTTTCCATCAACAATTCACAAAATATGCTTTCTATAGGACCAATGTTCACTTTATTAAATCTTATCTTTTATAGAATATTTATAGAAACTGAAACTAGCTTTTTATTGTACATGTATGGCTAGCTTCCTCTCATATTTTAATTTTTCCT